TTGACAACAGTTTCTGGGAAATGGCATGGAAGGCTATAGAATACACAGTTTTGGGTTACACCCATACCATGATGAACTGGTCTCAGTTGTCCTAACTAGGACACCATTTTAAACAACAACCATGTTCTGTGCTCAGTCTTTGTGACTATTACGTTGAATTGTAAATTCTTCAACAGCTTAGGGCTATCTTTTCCTTGAGAGCTAGGAAAAAAGTTTGCAATGGCACAGTCCTGTCCCAGTAAAAACTAAGGTGTGGCTAATGATGACAATAAATTTCTGAGAAAAATATAATTCCACAAAAATAACCCTTGGCTCAAGTTCCTTATAAGTGATCTTCAGCTTCAGACATGATTTTACATCTTTTTTGACAGATACCAAAAAGTTAAGATACAAAAAAATGACGCAGCACTTGGGAAAATACTAGCAGCAAACCAATGGCCATATCAATGTTGGCAGGAGTTATGGAACTGAATACAAATTAACACTGGGACACTGCACTACCCAAGTTGTCCTTATGGCTTTGAAAGCAATAGCCTCCATTAAGTAAAGAAAAATCTCAAGACTTTTAATTAGCTCAAAGAAAAAAAAAAGAACCAGTCTCCGGACATATTTTGTAAGACACCGTTTGCCCCTCAGCTAGGAAACTAGGACTCAGAAGATATCTTTATTGTAAGAAATTGTGCTATTAACACCATTACTAAAAGATACCACAGTAAAAGGTTCTACGTATCAATATGTACCAATACAGTTGGTACATGTAACTACACTTAAGTCAAAAACTTCAGAGCACTGAAGTAGAACTTTCTTTCAGGTGTATAAATCAGCGTTACATGAGACATTGCTTCTCCCAGTAAACCCTGACTAATTTGACTCATATCATGGCATATCTTTAAGACAGCAATTCAATTTCAGAAGAAAGGTGTTTGCCATGCCCCATTTTCACACATGATGATAACATTCAAGAGTTTTAAGCCTTGGCTTGATAATGCTGAGATAGTACAGCCCAATTTTACCATAAAAAATAAATCAGAACTGAAGCACCTAAAAACAAGCAAACAAACATACATCTCGGTTACTCCTCAGTATTTTCTTTTTTTTCTACAGCAATTTCCAAGACAGTATTCCCCTTCCAAATACATCAGCTTCTAAAGCTACTTTCTAAAGCTACTTGAGCCTAGCTCAGGTTTAAATTTAGAGTAATGTAATTAACCTGCCAACATTTCCTCTCTGCTTTTCTAGGCATTACTACTTTAACCACAGTCCACTAAGAACTCCAGTCATCATACCAATAGTGACACTCAAGTTGAAACAAATTATTTTCCTTCGAAGTGGGAGAGTAAAGCATAATGGCATGTAAGTTCTCAGATAAATACAGAAGCAGCAACTTAATATTTTAAAATAAAAAGAAATATGTGTAAATATAAAGGTAAGGAATTTACTGCAACAACACAGAAATCCTTTGGCCATTATTCCATCACAGATTATTCTAAAATTTGTTCTAAAAATTATTCGTGAGACTACAAACATGACAGATCTACATAAGTATACATCTCATCCAATACTGGTATATGAAATACTCAAGGTAATTTAAGTTCACAGAAGCATTACGGTATTAAGACACACTGAAAATTGAATATGTCAGATCTCGGTTTAGTTTACATTTCATCAGCAGCCCAAATTTGTTTTGTTAAATTAAACCTTACCATACACTTCTGTTTTGACTAGAAATACACAACCAAACAGAAATTCAGAAATATAGAAATAATTTGTAGCCCTGATCCATCTAGTTTTTACTGACTTGTTCTGTCCTTCTGCAAATTAAGAGGGGATTGCTTTGCTCTAACTTAATATTTTACTAGAAATAGTAGATCAAAAAATGAGTGAAAAGTCTTTACAGTATTTGTATCTTTCAGAGAGTTAATTTCTTCAGTGTTAAAATAAGATCTGCTTACTACCATACCTCTTCTGCCATCTCCACCAAACCTGACTTCTGAGTAATAAACTCAAATTTTAGTTTAGCTTTCTTCCATCTTCCCTTGGACTACTACCTGCCAGATACTGCCCCATATGGGGCAATCTCCCTCTACTCTTTCCACACTTCTTTCGGTGACATCACCTGTCTCTGTCATGAAGACCACAAAAGCATCACACTCAATGTGATTATCTCCATGCACCCAGGTCTTGGAAGATTTAAACTGCAGAACACTTAAAATATTTTTAATCTATCCACATAACTGGAAGATTGGTGCTGGTTTTTGTGCATCACTATTGCTATAACATACTCTGCCTAGCCTTGAGCAATGAAATCTTAACTTGCCGAGATACGCATTTATTACACATTTAGAATACCACTGCTAAAGATCACTTCCCTTGTAAATAACTCTCCTTTCTATACATCCATCTAGCACCTGCTCCTCTGCCTATAGTTGCAATAAACAAAAGCACACAGGGCTGCTACCAGGGCACTCATGATTTATTCTCACGCTGCCAATCCAGATGCTATCATCCTTCTCCCAACCAACTGACGTCAGTTCCCGCTCTGCTGTCCTTATCTTTAGAGAAGCTACTGAAGCATCTACTAAATCACTTAATTCTTGCACTTAAGGTTCCTTTGCTGAGCTACATAAGCAAGAATTTTAATAGTGATTAGACAG